CCACGCTGCAATTGTTTTTCACCTTAATTGCATTCAACAAGCCAAATCACGCAAATTGACGCGTGACCGGCGTGGGCCGAAAGTAATTCAGCGCAGCGCCGCAAGTGGGAGGACAAGCCGCGGGTCCTCGTGGATTTCCACCGCTACGCGCCTCACCTGGGACGTGAAGACTTCGCAGAAACAAAAGCACTTGCGAAAAAAGAGCATCACGCTGCAGCATCTTTGTGATGCAAGCGTTGCAAGAAAAGGTGCCAAAAAAGGAAAGAAAAGCAAGACTTTCGGACGTGAGGTGGTCATCAAACGCTAGCGTCATCAAGCCGTCGGTGGATGAAGCACGAGTGTAGAGGTGCATCAGCCCAGAGTGAACGATCTATGCAGCGAACCCGCACAAGACCAAGAACAGCCCGCACTAGTTACTACTGCCATAGCACAGGAAAACATAAGGAAAAAAATGCTGGACGTCGCAGCTAGAGACCCCCTTGTTGCCAGCACCTGGAAATGCCCCCTCTAGCCTCAGGAATAAACGAAGGACGGAGCAATCGCAATACGAAGTACGCTGCAAGCAAAGCGGTCAAAATACTGGTTCAACGAAGTGCGGGTGGAGTGACCATACAAAACTTTATTACCGTCATACTATACCGCATCGGCGCGTACTCGTATTGTCCGAGGTTCTCCGGCCGTTGCCACCGCTGCTGCTGCTGCTGCTGCTGCGTCAGGCGCCAGGCAGCAGCTCGCCGCTGCCCATGCGCAGCGCTCACCATGGCTGAAGCTTGACCAGCCTGTGACCTATTGCTGAAGCTTGATAGCTGCTCTGACAGTTGAGCAAGCAATCGCAAGGTTTTCACGTAGACCCACAGAGCCAAAATGATTGTCACTGTGCGGCCAGAACCTGTCGAATCACATGAGCTAGCTCCACACAAAACTCCCTGGAACCAGGCTGCATCAGTTGCAGTGAAAACAAAGGAACTCCCTGGACAGTTGCTTCTAAACCTGACTCTTCAAACCTCTAGACTCTAAGCTAAGAAAACAAACAAAAATAAAGAGGTTAAAGGTTGCCCACTGAAGGGGTAAGACAATGAGGGAAACGCTGTCATGAAAGCATCAACAACGTGCAAAGGGATGGTTCCATGGTCCCGGATACATCCCGATACATTTCGTGTGTTTACATCGGACGGAATATGCATGAAACGACAAAGCAGGCTTTGCGAGATTCGCACGCCGACTGTGGTCATACAACATGTGGCATCTGAAACGACCATGGCTTGTGACCTCAATCGCATACGCGCTGATCGGTGCAGCATGAGCAGGGCAGCACGCAGTTGCACGCGGGGAGCTGTCATTGTAGCGCAAAGTAATCGCACCATGGGAGGCCAGCAGCTGCGTCGTCAGAACGTCTACATACTGGCACGGCGCTGGGCACGCCATCAGTGTTTGCGCTGGGCACAGCGATTTGGGGGGCTGATTCGACGGAGCCCCGGCATTGTCCAATTTAATACGGCTACCGTGCCAAAACGGCAGTATACAGTCTTCCACCGTCAACGTCCCAGCGGGATGCGGATGAACGGGCCGAATGGGTTGGCCGCTCCCGGGATAGCACGAAATCCCGTGGCAAAGTCATCAAAAAGGTGGCGCTGGCCACAGATGCACATTGGCTTGTGGCTGCCTCCGCGAAAAACGCGGCGAGCCATAAGACCACGCTGCCTTACGCGACTCACATTTTTGCTTACGCGGTACATTTGGAGCAAGAAGGGCTTACGCAGACCTTACGCAACGCCTGTCTCGCACAAAATGCAGCTGACACCACAACGCGAGCTTACGCGCTGCATACTTTGTACAATGGACATTTACTACACCTAAGCTTCGGATATGGATGCTGAAGAAGCACTTGAGGATGAGGACGAAGAAGAAGGCTCGAAGGCAGAAGCAACCAAGCGGCAGCAGCAGCACCAGCAGCAGTAGTAGCAGCAGACTAGCAGCAAACCTGCAGCAGACCTGCAGCAGACCAGCAGCAGCAGCAGCAGCAGCAGCAGACTAGCAGCAGCAGACCTGCAGCAGAAGACCTGCAGCAGGAAGTGGAGAAGTGGAAGTGGAAGGGCGATGCGCGCAAACCACGTTGTATATAGAGGTCTTCAACCACACGCTGCCGCTGACGCAACGGTTTCGGAGAAGGAGGCATGTGGGCTACTGGTGGAAAAGGACACCGGAGCTTACGCGGAGCTTTCGCGCGGCTTACGCGCCGGAACTCACAAAAAACACCTGGAGTTTCTCATGTCTGACATGGAGGTTTGACTGTTCAGCTGTGGTGTTTGGACTGTGTGTTCAGCAATTCGAGTTTGGATTGTGTATGTATGTGTGGAGTTGGACTGTTCCTTAGTCCTAGCACTTCTGAGAGGGGTTGCTCATGTATTTGTCATGTATTTCTTCAAAGCTTACGCATGGCTTACGCAAAAGGTTTCTTTACAAAAAGCTTACGCAACCTTACGCGCGTGCAGGTTTTGCTTACGCACAACTTCGATATGACAACACACTGATTAAACATGAACACGGAGGTTTATCGAATGGCTCAGGTGGCCTTCCAGTATGGTCAATGCCGCAACGACAAGAAATCCTGTCGAGAACACGGTAACACTACAACAACATTAGATCGAATCATACCAGCAAACAGCCAGCAAACCTGCAGAGTCAACCTTCGCACACCTGCCAGGCACACGAACGCAGGACCAGCTGGGGTTGCCCTAGCTGCTTCGAAGCTGTTGCTTCGGCACAGTACCGCAGTTCTTACAGTCATGGAAGGCCCACTAGGACTGGGCCGGGGGGGCAAAAGCAGTCAATGTCACGAAGTCTTCGGGCAGCGAAGCACTTCAAGAAGTTGCCCATGGAGTCTCTGACATTCTTTGATGCCGCCAACCCAGCGAGAAAAACCGTGTTGTTCTTCCACTGCAACGGTGTCTTGGGCAGATGCGGCGTGACGTGCAAACACGGTTTTGCGGGGCGACGTCTAGAAAAGCGGCGCATGCGGCGCATGTAAAAATTGCGAACTTAGGACGACACACCTGCAGCAAACAGTTATAGGAGCAACTAGTGGCCAATCTTGTGGACAACCTGCACCTCGGAACGCTGCTTCTATAGATGCAATTAAAAAGGAACGCCGACATCAATCGCAGGCCGCAGCACAAAGTACACCGCCAGGAAAACAAACAAAAATACCATAAAATACTGGTGCAACGAAATGCGAGTAGAGTGCCAAAGGCGGCCATCACTTGCATAAAACATCGTTCAGTTTGGGATGATGCAGCTCTACAATTCATAGCTTGCTTGCTTGGCGTTGTCTTCGCCTCTTTTGTTGGGCCTAAGGAGGTGGGACACCAAGGCCAAGCAAGAGCTGGACAGCGACTCATGTCATTCAAGAAGCCCATGCGGATCGTATTGAGGGGGTCCACGGTCCAAAGTGCAGGAAACACAATGGATCATAGACACTGCACACACACATATACATCCATTCGGCTGTCACCAATACATGTATCCCAGACACGACTATAAGCCATGGGGACGCCGGACTGGCTCTTTTTGGATCTCACCCCTGAAATCCACCACCTCAGTAAATGTTTCAGTCCCATGACTCCGTGTCTCGGTTCTTGCAGTCCCATGCTGCCCCTGTTTTTGGGCGTCTGACGTCATGACGTTCCCTCGCTCCGCGACAGCGCCCACCAGAGCGACAGGTGCCGGCATCAAGGACCGACCACCGTGCCGCGCGGCACGGCGCACCAAGCGCCGTGTGGACGAAGGACGAGCGAGTCACGGTGACTGGTGTGCTTGGTTCAACAGATGACACCATCCGAACTCGCCGTGTGCGACTCGGAGTGGAGCGTCAGACCCGCCCGGCGCTTCGCTTTCCGGGCCAGGAGAAGGCGAGCAGAAGCGTTTTTGCAGCGATTTGGTGGGAAACAAAGGATTCATGTTGGATCTTAATTAGCATAAACACCCCCCCCATGATTGCGTCCCATTCTACGAATTAGGATGCAACATGAGTTTTAGCACCTGAAAACCTGAACTGTCCAAGTTTTATCTGGAGGACACAATACAGTATCCCCATCTTCCTGCATTGCATTCATCGTGCGTCGGGGTATGGTGAATCGTCTGTCAAACCGTCAAAACGAACATCATCGAACCGTCGGTTCACCGAACGACTCCTCGCTGGAAGGCGGATGAAGGCGGGGCGCTTGCTACATCCGAGCAAGTCAGTGTGCCAATGGCGACCATACGAAACGCGAGAAAACCGGCTCCATCGGATGCAGCTCCATGCTGGTGGCGCTCGGATGCCCTCAAGTCTTTCGTCGCGCGTGAGATGGGGTGTAATTCGATTTGACAAAGGCCGGGCGACGACCCCCTCGGAAGAGACATAGCCCAACCTTTGGGCCAAAAGTTCATGTTTTTGTTCAAAAACACCGCCATTATGGCGATGGCCTCCAACCGCGATGGCCTCCAACCTGATAGCGATGACCTCCGACCACGATGGCCTCCAACCGTGTTGGCCTCCAACCTGATAGCGATGACCTC